GTTTAAATTCTACCATCACAGCCACCTGCTCAAGCAGACTGAATTTGACACTGTATTTAAACTGGTAAATAGGGCTTTGGACTGCTGGAGCAGGTGATTACTGTGCAGATATTGTAGAATGAAGTATCGACAGACACAACAGAATAAAGAAGCATCCAGTGTGAAAAAAGAAAACCAAAACCATCACAGAAACACCAAAGAGCTGAGACTCAGGATCTGACTTATAAATAGAGATAGAGATTGATATACATACATACATACATACATACATACATACATATGTATATATGTATATAGATATAGATAGATGTAGATCGATAGATATAGGTATATATATGTATATATATATATATACATAGATATAGATAGATGTAGATCGATAGATATAAGTATATATATATGTATATATATATATACATAGATATAGATAGATGTAGATCAATAGATATAAGTATATATATATGTATATATATATACATAGATATAGATAGATGTAGATCGATAGATATAGGTATATAGATACATTCAATATTTAGAAGGACTACTTAGATCATTTCCAACTTCAAGAAGTAACACTATGAGTTCTCCCAGGATCTAAAGCTAGAAGTCACTATTCAAAAACCCTCTTTTAAGGTGGGAAAAATGAGTTTTGCCCTGGGGCAACTGAAATTTAGAGTGATCAGGTTCACAGAAACCTCTCTGTATTCTAGGACACCCTTCTTCTGCCTCCAGCAGCTGAATTTCAAGTGAATTGGAGTGTTTATCCACCCCCTTCACTTCTTTCTCATGATCAGGATTGGTCTTGGGAATGTTTAATAGGACCCTCTTCCCCCAATGTGTCATGATATATTTTTAAGTTTAATTTGTGTTATTAATATTTTCACTATCATTTGCTTAAGCCTTGACAATAAGCAAAACAATGAATCTAGTCATGATTTGTGGAATTTGTTGATTTCTGATGTGAAAATGTGCATACTGAAAAGTTTAACATAGAGAGAGCTTGATAGCCCATTTGAGGTGGCTCCAGCATATTTGTAGTTATGGCTTGATTTTACAAATGAGAAACCCATGGAATAGAGCCTCCTATTGAATGAATGAATGAATGAATGAATGAATGGATGGATGGAGGATGCATTGATTAAGCCCTTCCTGTGTGCAAAAGTGCTAGGACTATTAATCAAAAATTAAGACATCTTGCTCTCAAGAAGGTCACATTCTAATGGGGGGGAGGGTAGAAGGTGATGGGATTTCAGCTACTCCAATGGGCACCCTATCTAGAGTCCTTTGCAATCAACATGCTGGAAGCTTCACAGTTTAAAATAGTTTTCTAATTCTTTAAATAGCACTTACTGACAAGGAAAAAAAATGTTATCTTGTTTAAGTATTCCATTTTTGATGGCTCATTGTGTCTAAAAAAAGATCAGTTAAAGCTCTTCCAAAACTCTTGTTTAATTGAAGGACAATTTAGGCATCTCAGAAATATACAGATGATTTTACCCATTTTTGCATATATTTAATCTCACTGCTATTCATATCCCACACAAACTCTTTGCAAACAGAGAGCTTTCACACTGTAAAAAAAAAAATTAACATTAGGAAAAAGATAAATTCCAACCAACTTTATCCTTTTAACAGATGAAGGCAAGCTTTTGAAATAAAGAATGCACCTGAAAAATGATATGGTGAACTGAAAATTAATCAAAGGAAGATGGAAATATTTGTGCCTATATTCTTTAGAGTAACCAGGAACTTGTATTCATTATCACCCCTTTGTAGGGAGGAGGTGCCAGGTTAACTTATTGGCTCAAGCTGCAGAGAAGTATTAAATTTATGGCTTCCATTATGATGGAAGATAGCTTCTGACAAAAATCTCCTAAGCTTGCCATACCAAAATACAGTCTGCCACTATTTCAAAAACCTGTCTCTCTGCAAAATGGGACTCTGTTGTAGATTTGAAAAAGCCTAGATACTAGTGTTATTAAAAACCATGTTTGGGGTGCTGGGGGAATAAAAAAGCAAGATTGATAACCCTAGAGGCTAAGGGATTCTATTCATTCACAGAGTAGGTCAATATGATGGGATTTTTTTTTTCCTACATGGAGCGCAGAGCTATTCTTATGGGGCTACAGAAGATAGGTGTATGACAGTGTCCCAATCTCCCCCACTTTCTTTTCATAGGGACTTGCTTATGTATGCAAAATCAGATTAAATGAACATTAAGGGTAGCAAGGGGGGAAGGTGGGAGAGAGTGCACAGAGCAATAATCTGCATCAGTTAGAAACATATATATAAGGGAGAGAAAATTTTCTTTACTGATGAAAGTGGAGAGGTTTGTAGACTGTCCATAACTTCAAGGAATTTTTAAAGACTATTATTAGAAAGGACCTCTCAGCTACAAGCAATACAGACCCTCCTTTCTCTCATCCCAAAGCAAGGAAGTTATGACAAATACCCTAATTTACTATACCTGAGAGATACCTCAGGGTAGGTATACTGCTCCCTAATCTGAAAAAAGATTACTTTGTGTGGTTGAAAAAGAGTCAGTTTTATTGGTGGTCTTCTCAGGAAAGGGCTTAATAGAACAATGCTGATGACTGTAAGTATAGTTCTGAGGTATAAACATAGCTATTTAGGAAGCAAGAATTTGTAGTATTATTGTGGTACAACAATGGTTTTCCCAACCAGGCCTACCAATCTCATGCATTCACATTCAATACACTTCAGTAGACCAAGGGAGGACTTAGAAATACCAGGGCTTTGCATGGGGGCAGGAGGTAATGGTGTGCTTTCTCCTAGGAAATGGTACTTCGTGTGTATAGCCACAACATGGCTGCTTTATGCATATAGTTGTGAAATATTTGAAGATAACTATTAAATCTCTCTGTCTTTCCTTCTCCAGATAAACCAACCACATTTCCATCAATAAAACCCAGGATGGCCTTGTCTTCAGCTCTCTCATCATACTGATGATTTAGTTTGAGATATACTCTATTCTGTCAGTCTCCTTCCTACAAAGTGATTCTCTGAATAGAAAATAATATTTTAAATGTGGTCTTAACAAGACAGAGAAGAGCCAGAACCACCCTTTCTTTATTCTGGGTGCCTTGTTTCTTTTAATGTAATCTAAGCATCAGCTTCTTTTTTTTCTTTTTCTGCCTTGACTCCTGTTCAAGTTGGGAGATTCAACTATCCATGCTTTATTCTGAACTGAGGATACTTGACTATAGAAAATGAGCCTATTTTTATTTTCATTACAAAGAGATTAACTTCTGGATAGAGACAGACAAAAGACATTTGAAGGTACTGATAAAGATAATCTGAAAGGGAATTCCTGCCATTTAAAACAGGATTTTAATTATTATTATTTTTTTACTGTTCCTTTCTAACTAAAAGAACTGAGTAACATATTATGAAAAAATTACATTGATTAAAATTTATTGTTTGGAGAAATTTTTTTTGAAAGAGTACAAGTTAAGGTGAAATACTCCAAATCACATTAAAAATAGCACAGGGACTTCCTAGTAAACAATTTGGTTCAACAGGCCTTTATTAACTTCCTATATGCAAGGTGCTTATAGATATATACAAAACCAAAAATAAAACAGTCCCTGCCCTCAAGAAGCTGTCATTCAAAAGAATGTCAAGGATAGTTTCAGTGAAGTGAATGTCAGGTTCATCATATCTTTGCTTTATTGTCTTTCCTTCTATTTCCTCCCTGTCCTTCCTTCTTGTTCCCCAACCTCAACAAACAATTAAGATAGTTAAACTCCTACAACTATGATAGGATTTACTGTGCAATATAACTTTGCCATTGCAAAATAGAAGGGGGATCAATATTGATGGGAACCAGTCTTACCTAAATATAAAACAGTGCAGAACTCCACATCAAGATGAAAATAACAGGATACACACACACTATATATATATGTATGTATGTACATATGTATGTATAATTTTAATCAACAATTCACCTGCAGTCCCTTACTTAACTTCACTTAGCAGGGATACCAACAAGTCCACTAACAAAAAGGAGTAACTGGGATTTCACCTTTTACCCTTTCCCTTGTTCTACTCAGTAATGCTAATGGGTAATAAAGTGCTTACAAAGGATAAAGGTAAAAAAGTAGAGAAACACAGCCCTTCATCTTTTACCTTCCCCACACATAAAATAATTTATGATAGGCATCGGATGCATGAATTCACAGGCATAGGAAACTCCCAGATACGGAAACTCCCTTACCAATACAGTTCAGTTCCTTCTTTAAAACTTACAACCTCAGAAAATCAGCTAGAGTATTAATAAGTTAAGTGACTTGCCCAAAGTCATACAGTTAATGTGTGCCAAATGCAATTCATTCTCTCTCTCTCTCTCTCTCTCTCTCTCTCTCTCTCTCCCCCCCTTCTTCCCTCCCTCCCCCTTTGATGCTCAATCCCTTTGTACTTAAAGACAATTAGAGCAGAATACAGGGGAAAAAAATAGTGGTTTCAGGATGAAGGGATAGGTCCAGGAGAATGGACAGTGCTTGTGAAAAAATGACCATCCAAATCATTGAAACTCTTTTCCAAGAAACTATTTTCTGCACAGGCAGCAACTATTTCCCTGCTATGGTCTATGTGCTTTGCCTCTAAAGAAAAGAGGCTAATCCATTCAAAACATGTCTATCTGTCCATTAAGTTGGAGGCTGCAAACCTGTTTCAGAAAGGCCACCTTAGAGCTACTAAGATGTAATGGTTTTTAAAACACCACAGCTCTAGGTTCAGGTTAGAGACTGTGATTGAGAGGTGAAAGGTCCCTGAACCCATTACCTATCTGCTGATAACAGTTCAAACTGAAATGAACTTGACAAATTGCTCTCCACAAAGCTGGATAAGCCCTTAAAATTAATCATCATAATGCTGTGCTAAGGAAAGAATGGTGTAAGGATTCTTAAGGACAAGGAGGAGCCAATCTTCTTTGAGTTTCCTCGGAATCATGCCATAGTAATGGTTAGTAGGCTGCAGTGGATTATGGGAGCAGGGCCATGATTCAGAACTAGAGAACCAAGGCAAAGAAGAGCTGAGTGGTACCTGCAAGGTGAGTGCCAGATCAAAGTTAGGTAAAGTATCAGGAGCCAGGGAATTTTACAAATGATGTAGAGGCCAAGCAAAAGCCAGGTGAGTAGTCAGAAGAGGAGAAATAAACACAAGGCACCATCAAATTATTGAAATAAGAAAGTAATGGGGGTGATTTCATTGGCATGAGACACTCCTGATGAGAAAATACTCTATATTAAAGTAGGTCAGTAACTTTCCTAAATCTTATAGTCTTAGAGTATTTCTTGGGTCGCTAAGAAGTTAAGAAATTTTTCCAGGTTCATAAAGACAGTATCTTTCAGAAGTGGGGCAAGAACTCAGGTCTTCTTGAGTCCTGATTCCAAGGCCAGCTCTCTGTCCACTATGTTAAATGACCTTCTGCTATTATGCAGGAGCTTTTAAACTTAGGCTCTTTCTCTAGTTAAATTTAAATTAAAAGAACATCAAGACTTAGTCATCTATCTTTTCAATTTCTTGTACCTGCTTAATATATGGAGCTATTTCTCCAATTTATGTATGTATATACACACACACACACACACACACACAGAGGCATATTATAGATAGTTTGATTAATGACAGATAATTGCCTGCCAAATATAAGTTGGACATCTTTTTGTTTTTTTAAAGCCCTTCCTGATAAAAATTTATCTTGCTGGCTTGCCAAAATGCCTGAAATTTCACCATTCTACAAAAATGTAGAATAATATCCTTGAAAAAAAATTGACACAGAACATAGTGAAAAAAAATAGGCAAATACTGTTTCTTTCTTTTCAAGCATACTCTATAACTAACTGGAGTAAGAAGGCTGAAAAAAGTTTAAGAAAAATTAAAGACAAAGGCTGGGTTCTAACTGAATGTCATTGACTATCTCTATTTCAAGTTTCCTCTAAAAGAAACATGGGTGTTGGTTAATTGTGAGGGAGAACATCTGACTAAAATAAAAACTTTGTTTTGTATTAATAATGAAATATCTGGATTTGCTTTCTAATTCCCCCCCTCTTAGTTTCTATCTTAATTCTTAGGCTTTTTTAAATGAGGGGAGGGGAGAAGAGGCAAGGGGAGAGAAGGAGGTCTGAGGAGAGCAGCTTAGTTGTAATGGAAAGCAGTAACATTTTTTAAAAGGAAAACTTCAAAGATAATTTGCAGTGGGAGGAGACCTTTAAAGTATATCAAAGATTTTCTTTCTAACCAGGTCTTTTCCCCTGGCACTTGGAGGGAGGTATTTGAGAACAAACCTCCAATCATCACACCTTTAACTGCTGAAGTCCTCAAAATTGGCCTACTGGCTGATTGCGGACTCAGTTGGCCAAAGATCCCATTTTGTCTGGACACTGCAAGCACACACCACTCCACTTGATTGCTTTTATATTTTTTGTTTCCTTCCCTCAAATTTTCAAGCTCCTTTTTGCTTCTTTATTCAGGTTATTTTTTCCCTGGAAGCACATGCCTCAAAAGACTGTGGGAAATACTGTCCTTGCTGGATCTTTGGCCTGACAATGGGGAGTAACAGATCTTTTCTAAGAAAGCTCATTCTTTTGAGAATTTCGATGCAATCAGGCTGTTTTTTTTTCTTACCAGTACAGACAACCTTTGCTAATGCTTTGGAATTTTGAAAACAGAGAAAACAGTTGAAAAATTCTTCCATTACCAATTCCATTAACCAAATGAGTGTTATTCACCCGCTATGTGCAAGGCACTGGACTAGATGCTAGTAATACAAATATATGACAAAGACCCTGTATTTAGGATGTATAATGGGGAAGACATGATATGTGAACAAATGGGCATGATCTAAAATGTTCTGTCAAAGTAGGGATTCAGAAATTTGAGGAGGAAAAGCTCATTTTCATCTAGGAAGATCAGTAAAGGTTTTGTGAAGGAAGAGATACTTAAGTTGACTTTTTTAAAGTTGATTTTTGATGGATGAATAGAAAGAAGGGAATGAAGTGGGAAGGGAGGAAAGAGGAAAGAGAGGAAAGATAGAAGGGAGGAATAAGGGAAGGGAGGAAGAAATTTCAGCAGAAAGAGATGAGGATTTGGAGGATGGCGTCAGCAAAGACAGAGATATAAAAGGAAAGGATAGAATGTGAGGGACGGTAAAGAGTCAACTTTGGCTAGAACAGAAAACTATGTGGAGGGAAATAATATGAGAAAAGAGCCAGAAAAAAGTTAGGGTCAGGTTGTGGAAGATATTTCTCCCCTTTTCAATATTTAAACTATAAATCAAGGAGATATTTAGTCTTAGCTCTTCCATTTGGGAAAGACTATTGATCATGTAAATATCTTCCCAGACAAATAGGCTGGAGGTGCTACAGACAGTATCAGCTTCATAATAAAGGGCATTTATTGTCTTTGTCTATGTAGATAGTTTTAAGTTTTGTGGGCAGAGAGAGTATAAGGTAAAAACCAAAGTTAGCTAGTGGGAGATCAGCTAGCAAATTAATTATTTCTGTTTTTGTTTGGCTTCTGAATTATTTTAAATTAAAGGTCAATTTGTTTAAATGGAGACTTTTTGCCTTCATCAGAACCATTACCAAATCAAAGGATTGGCTATACTCCCATTCGCTGCTTTAAAATGTAAGGTTTTGGAAAGTCAAAACTTCCTTGTGAAAGAAATCCAAAGAAGAGTCTAGGTTCCTAATGGTCTGAGTCAAGGTAGAGTTTACTGTTAAGACTAATCATTAGTAGTCATGAAAAAGGGTGCTAATGGTGTTAAATGGTTCAGTTTCTCGATAGGATTAATAGAATGGAGAATAGATTACTTATTGTGAAGATCAGATAAGAAAGAAGGCAAAGTGCTTTAATATGAGATCATTGTGATTCATTTCATAGCCTCTTACCCCTCCAGCCAATACTCTCTTTTCCTTTTTCCAGCATTTCACACTGCCTTGCATTGAATATCCTCCTTCTGATCCCTTCAGGAATTCCTCAATGGAGGAAGTCCCCTTGGAACCCAACTTCTAGCCTCAGCATCCCTCTTTCCAGTGCCAACATACCTTTCCTATACCCCATTCCTTCATAGTTGTGCAAGGTGGCAGGCTTGTTATTCTGATAAACTAATTCATGCTGATTTTCTAATGACTAGAAACAGGTTAATGAAGGCAGATTATATTTAAACAGAACGTTTTTTTTTTTATGCCAAGAAAATATATCTCTGATGGTGGAATTTCAGGCATTTCGGCAAGCCAGCAAGATAAATTTTTGATCAGGAAGGGTTTAAAAAAAAACAAGAAGATAACCAACTTATATTTGGCAGGCAATTGTCTGTCATTAATCAAACTATCTATAATATGCCTATATATATATGTGTATATATATGTATATAAATTATAGAAATAGCTCTATATATTTATATGTGATTTATCCCAGCATGTTTCTTTGTATATATCCCATCCCATATTTATGCCACCCCTCTTACTCTGTCTATATGTATATACATATATATACAAATGTGCACATGTACATAACATATAATTAAACATACATGCATATACCCATGTGTGTGTTTATGCACGTGTGCATGGCAAGCTTTGCAACATGGCCTGCTGGCTAGTCTTTAAAACACAAACATAGATACTCTCACAAAGATAAAGTCTTTATGATTTTATTTGTGGGGTTGAGACATGCCATGTTTAGATTACCCAGAACACCGAGTCTTCTTCTTTAGGCCAATTAGAGAACAGGTAGCAAATAACCTTCTCTCTGCATTGCTCAAAAACAACTGTTAGATGCATCAGGGAGCAACAAGAAAATTTCTAAAATGATGATGATGACAACAACAACCCTAACACCATGTGTGGTGGTTTTTCTATTTGGTTCATATTAATATGACATTTAACAGTTTCTAAAGAACTTTTCATACAAACTTTAGTGCCAGAGGAAGCACAAGCATAATGATGTGCATTTTCTTAATGAGTAAACAAGTGCAAATAAGTTTTAGGTTATTCCTGTTGTTCACAAACCTAACAAGGAATAAGGGTATAACCTACAAAATCCAAGGCGTCCTAGTAAACCATTCTCCTTTTCATCCTTTCAAATCCAAAATCCTTGGGCATGTTGTTAGTTTCAGGTCTAGCAACACTAATCATTTGTCTGTATGGAGTTTGGGATAGGATTATTTGAATCTATTTTATCACTGGACAGGTTAGTGCAGTATCTGTTTTCAGTTTGGACTCCTCATCAGGAAGAAACTTCCCAAGGCTGACATTAGATTCATCTTATATAGCTTAGTATTGTTCTTTGAAAAAAAAAAGATTTTATTGATATCTCTGTTTTTATATTCTCTAGATTTCTGTCTCCCATCCTTATCTTTCTCTTGTGCCATCCTTCATAACCAATAATTTTGTAATAGGAAAGAAGAAAAAGCATTAAAATCAATCAACACATTGGAAAAAATGATGTTTTGTACCATATCCTGCACTCAGCTGCCAATCTCACCAAAGGAACAGTGGGAAGGGGAGTCTGGTATTGCTCTGTGCCATCCCCCATCACCTACTGATGGCTGAACATCTCCATGTGGATGCCCCAAAAGGGTTCTCAACCTCAACGTATCCAATATAGATCTCATTATTTTCTTCTTAAACCTACTCCTCCTTCAAATGTCCTTATTTCTGTTGAAGATATCACCATCCTTGCAGTCACCCAAGTTTGCAATGTCAAGTTCACCTTTGACTCTTTCTTCTTTTCCACTATACCTGTTCAATCACTTGTCATGTTTTGTCCATTATACCTCTATGGAATATCTTATATTTAAACCATTCTCTCTCTTTTCCATTACCAATACCCTGATTCAAGGATTCTTCTCCTGGGCAATTAGGTATCACAATGGATGGACAGAGAACTGGATCTGGAGTCAGGAAGATCTGAGTTCAAATTCAGCCTCCGAATCTTACTAGCTATGTGACCCTGGACAAATCATGTAACTTCTATTTACCTCAATTTCCTCAACAGCAAAATGAGGATAATAATAGTATCTTCCTCACAGGTTTGTTGTGAAGATAAAGTAGAACAATTAGAAAAAATGACTGGAACATAAGAGGTATTTAATAAATGCTTGTTTCTCTCCCTTTCCCCTTTCTTTGACTATCACAATAACCTCCTATTTGGTCTCCCTGATTTGAATGTCTTAGACTAGAGACAATGTAGAATGGTGGCAAGGATATTGGACTTGGAGTCAGGAAGACCTGGATTCAAATCTTACCTCATGTACTTATCAGCTGTATGATCTTGGACAAGTGACAACCTTTCTGAACTCAGTTTCCCCATTTGCAAAAAGAGGTTACATTTGATGGCTTCTATAATCTAATTATGATCCTATGAGCTATGATTATATAATCCTTCTTCAATCCTCTATAATTTGCCAAAGTAATCTCCCCAAAGGACAGGTCTGACCAGGTCACTCCCTTACTCAGAAATCTTCAGCAATTCCTTCTTGCCTCAAAAATGAAATACAACCTCCTCAACCTGGGATTTAAGTTTCTTCACAGCCTGACTTCAGTTTGGCCATACAGACTTATTTCCCATCATTCTTCTTAGTATACTCTATGTACCAGCCAAATTGGTCCCTTACCTATCTCCCAAACATATCATTCCAGTTTATATTTCTATACCAGAGGTTCCCAAACTTATTTGGCCTACCACCCACTTAAAAAATTACTCAGCACCCCCTGGTAATCTACTTTCTTTAACCCCTTAATGTTTTTTTAAATTTGTGTCATTTCAAAAAAAACATTTTTAAAAAAATGACATCCTAAATTTAATAATTTGTTGTAAATTTGTGGTTTTTTCTTGTATTGAAATTTTGATGATGCAATATTGCATCATGTAACTGTACAGTCATATTGTAAACAACCCATTACACATGCATATTTCTGTCTATGCATGCTGGACTTCTAGACAATGCGTGACACACTTACCTGCCAACACTTGCTTGTTAAGACATGTTGGCAGACTTGACCATTGATGGGTTATATGTGTGTTTATTTGGAAAATGTAATCACTGCAACTTTAATGCTGTTGCACAACATGTATGAATGGTTTTTCAAAATATCCTTCTTTCTTTATGCTTCCACCTCCCCCTCTTATTTTTATTCCCAATTTCACCTGAGGCTACTACCACCTTCCCCCTCCCACGCCCCCCCCAATCATTCTAGCACCCCCTAAGTGGCAATATCTTTAGACAAGGCTGCCTTCCCAACTCAGAATTCACTCCTTTGTCACTTCTATTTCTCAGCATTCTTAGATTCATTCAAGTCTCAATTCATGTACCCTTTCCTACATGAAAATCTTCTTCCTCTCTACTTCATCACCTCCCCACTACTTTACTACTCAGGGTTCTCTCCTTCCTCAAATTATTTATTAATTTATTTCAAACTTTTTATCCCCTTAAAACATAGACTCCCTGAGGGTAGGTCCTGATTTTCTATTTTTGTCCTAATATTCTCAGAGTCCAGGAGAGTATCTTGCACATTGTAGGCGTACTTAACAATTGTTTGTTGACTTGACTGGAATTGAACAATGCACTTCACTGATGGGGGATTGTCAACCCCTAATTTGAATTCAGACATTGTAAGCAACATCTAGCCTGTGGATGGGGAAGTACAATATCTCTATGGCATTGGGATGAGAGTGATATCTAAATGTCAGGCAATAGCAGGTGGCTGTCAACATTGGAGGAATTACTGTTTTAATCATTAATTACCAAATAAATGTCACTTTGCTGGTACAATAAATGCTGTAATTTCTGTCATAAATTGACATCTGTAAGTCATAAATTGCTTAGCTTTCAATGCTTTTAATTACTATGTTTTCCTGAGTTACATGGTGCAAACCATTTTGGACACTATTCACACTTCTTTGTCATTCTGGTAGCTTCTCAGAGCTGGCAATCAATTATGAAAATATTTAACTCTGGTGGCTTTACCTCTTCAAGTGTTACTCTTTCGCAAAAGATCCTGCCCAGATCATTAGGAAAGAAACCACTGGAAAAAGTTGAAAAGTACCTAATCAGAAAAGTAGCTGAAAGAGGTCTTAAATAGGTAAGTTCTTATTTTTTTTTAAAGAAACATCCTAACAAAGGGAAAAAAAAAAACGCTTAACAGAGTGAGGAGACAATGTGTCTGGGAACCATATAAAGCAGGTATGCTAGTCAGAAATATCTTGGATATAGTACTTTTGTTTGTTTTTCATAAGTTGTTCCCAGGGGAGTACACAGTCTTTTCTACCTGAGAGCCTGGAAATCCATGCTTTTGACAGTACTATTGTGCCCTGTTAGGAATAAAGCAAGTGTTTTGAACACTGATCAAATGCACCTAAACTTTGGTGGTTCCTGGCACAGCAAATATCAAAAGAATATCAATCTATAAAATCTATACACACATATACCTGAGGGGAGAGAAAGGCAAAATAAAAAAAATAAATAAATCACCTGAATTTGTTTCTGTCATCAAAGCACAAACATCAGGTACTTTATTTGTAGTTGTGATTCAGTAATTCTGGATAAGCTGACTCATGGATATTATTGAAATTGTTCATGAAAGCTGGGCAGCCCAGTCCTTAATACTGCAAAAATAACATATTTGTTTCAACAAAATGCAGGGATGGGATTTCAGTTATGCTAATGGATGTCATCTATTCCCAAGTATAGGAGAGTGATTGACATTTCATTTTTGAGAATGGAAACTTAAGTATTCTATGCCAACAACACAGCTAGGTGGCACAAATGATATAGTGCTGGGTTTGAAGTCAGGAAGACTCATCTTCCCAAGTTCAAATCTGAGCTCAGACACTTACTAGCTGTATGACCCATGGCAAGTCACTTCATCCTGTTTGCCTCAGTTTCCTCATCTGTAAGCTGGAGAAGGAAAAGGCAAACCAAGAAAACCCCAAATGGGATCATGAAGAGTCAGACATGACTGAAACGACTGAACAAAATGGTCTCCCTAGAAACAAACCATGCTTCCTTCTAGTGCCAGACTTTTGCTAGCGTGTCTCCTTGCTTGGAATGCTTTGCAAGTTCTGAATTTCTGTTGTTCTTTTCTCCAGAAGTTTTCTGGACTCTTTTAGATGACCAGATCCTTATTAAACACTAACTTTCAGTATCTTATATTTTGCATATCCAATTAAGTAGTCATGAACCTATATGCTGAAAAGGTAACTATCTCAGATGCCATCACTTTTGGTGATTCCCAGCTCCCTGTTTACTACTCCCCACCATACTTAATGAATATTCCTCATAAATGTCATTTCACCTGTCTGGGACCCTCTCTGCAAAGTCTTCCTCTCCTTCCAAATACTGAAAATACTGGTATCATTCATTAAGATTTACCTCATTAACAATATCTGTGAATTCCTTATCCCATTTCCCAAGGCATGTTAGCACATAGCTTGTATGGTTTTTTATCTCTAAGTCAGTTTTTGTCTCTTTTCTATATATTTTTTTCTGTCTTCTTCATTAGAATATAAGCTCTTCCAAGGTGAGAACTGTTTTTTTTTTTCTGAGCCTCCTCATTGAGGTACTCAGTGCTTCATATTCAGATTTCTACCCATGCAGAATTGGTTATTCTATCTGGTAAAATTAAAGATACTGGAGTGAGTACTTTTCCTGCTTTGGTCAGGATAATTACAGATTTCATTAATCCCCTCAAGTATAATAAAGCATGTCATGAAAAATAGGAAAGAAAGGTGGGCTGGTCACGTGATAAGAGATAACCCATGCATAGCCAGTATGCTCCACTGGTATCTATGAAATGCCAAGTGATGGAGGGGATGACACCCAGTATATTCGGTGAAGCTCCTGTGGAGGATCTGTCAGAAAACATGGACAAAGGTTGCCCAGGATGAGAAGGTAAGGATGGTTTATGGTTTGTATCACTGGAGAGGGTACCAACATGGATGAGATCACAGAACCATTGATGTACTGAAGCAACACCAAAAGGCAGTCCCTCCAGCTGTACTTTGAAAGAATTTGTTCTTTGGCAAAAGAGAATTGAAGGAGATGAAAGGAAAACTTTCTCTTTTGTGTTCAAAATGCTCAGATAAAAGATGAAGCCATGTGACCAGAACCCTGTAATCCTTTCACCTAAGAATCCCAAAGCACTCTCCAAACGTTAGCTTTGAAATCATTCTCGCCTCTGGAAAGGTGATGACTACCCCAAACACATGACTTAGGAAAATAGAGCATGCTTCTTAGAGCTACAAGTGGTCAGTTGCAAGACCAAAACTGATGGCGTTTATAGGAGAGGAACAAATAACTCACAGAGTAGCCAGTTTTCCATGCCAGTAAATTGGGAAAGAATATAAATGTCTGTTTTCCTCTGTCTGAATCCTCAATTTACTCATCTATGAAATGGCTATAAACAATACTTGTAGAACTTATGTCAGAGGGTTATTGTAGGGCTGGATTGAAATAATATGTGTAAAATACTCTGTAGAATTTAAAGTGCTACTTGAACTCTACCTATTATTTAACTATTATTATTTGCCTTTAAAAATGGAGCAGGTTAGCAATTTTTTATAAAGCAATAAAGATATCTATGAAAACCATAATCATAGATTACTTTCCCATTGTGGGGACAAAGCTTTGGACACGGTGGCAGAAGTTGTTATTTAGTCATTACAGTCATGTCTGACTCTTCATGACCCCTTTTTGGGTGGTAGGCATTTCTTGGCAGAGATACTGGAGTAGCTTGCCATTTCTTTCTCCAGGAAGCTGAGACAAGCAGGGTTAAGTGACTTGCCCACAGTCACACAGTTAGTAACTGCCTGAGCTGCATTTGAACTCAGATTGTTCTGATGCCAGGCCTGACATTCTATCCACTACATGCCCAGAGTCATGAAGACCCAAGTTCAAATTCTGCCTCACACACTTAGGAGCTGTGTGATTGATCCTGGGCAAACCATTTAATCTCCCTCAGCCTCAGTTTCCTAATCTATAAAATGGAACAATAATAGTACCTACCATATAAAGTTGCTTTGAAGATCAAATGTGATAACATAGAAAATGATTTACAAATGTTAAAGAATGATATAAATGCTAGACATTATTATTTATTATATTATTTAAATTAATAAGTATAATCATCATATCATACATAATATATAATGTGTTTATATTATTATATAATAATAATTATATTATTGTGCTATTGTTGTTATTATCAAATTATTTATCCAAAAGTTGCTTCATAAATCATAATTGTATAGTACTTCATTCTTTGACGTAAAAAATTCAGTGTCACCACAAATCCAACCCCTTTAAAGGGAAATCTTGAGAACTCCTTAGTTACCTTTTTTATTTTCCTGAATTTTTTTTTAGTAGAAAATGACTCTGAGGAACAGGTTGAGAGGCTTCCTAACCACTGGCCTGCAATATTGGCAAATGGAGAAGCCAAGAGGTATGGAAATGTTGGATGAGCTTTTAGCAATAGCCAGAGACACTATGGGGAGAAAAATCGGTATGTTCATTTCTGGCAAGCCAATTGGCATGTGTCTTCATGCTATTTGTTTTGTGATAGCAGATGGCTAGAGAAACTGGAGGAATTATGACTCTAATCATTAATTAAAAAATAAACTTCACTTTGTTACATCCAGTGATTTGCATCCTAAGTTGACAGCTGAAAGTCATCTACTGTTTACTTTTCACCATTTTAATTGCTAATAATGTCATGCTTTTGAGAAGGACTTACAGAAAAATAAAAGGAGAAAACTGATCAGCTCTGTAACCTCCAAAAGAGAAGTTTCCATACATGCATAATGATGTGATTATACTTGGGGGAAAAAGTGGGGAAATGAGTCAGAAAAAAGAGACATAATTCACACAAGAATTCCCTCCTGCACTGTAACAGAAACACAGGATTTGAGAAAGGGCTTTAGGAATCGTTTGGTCTAATGCTATGCATTTATTAAACAATTCACTGTGCTAGGTACTGACAAAAACAGACAGGAGCAAAACTGGAAGCTCGCGTTCTAATTTCAGATCTGGCAGGGCCCTCAGACAACAACTAGTTCAAACCTCTTATTTCATAGATGAGGAAATTAAGGTCCAGGCTCCAAATCCAGCCTCTTTCCAAGACATGGTACCCTTTACATATCTACAAGGAGATCTGTGAACCAGAGTGGAGAATCATGATAACTACAATGATGGGTAGGAATTCTTATGCCCAAAGCCAGTTTAGTTGAGTTGGTGTCACAATATGAACCCAAGTAGCATATTACTTAATTGCTCAATCAAACATCTGACAAAAGGACTATGGTGTTAGAACTACATATAATATAGCTTATTCAAAGTATAAATACCAATCTCTTAAAATAGGTTAGTTATATACAACTATCTTACTAGGGAAGTTTGCCTTTGTGGCCTGTCCTTTCTCTGTATGCAACTGAATTTGCCCCAGGTGCAAGATGATGGACATTAAGTGGAGAGATGGAATCCAGGAGATGGTCACTGCAATAATGGGACCCTAGAGGATAGGAGAGTGGTGACCTTCAGCTGGGTAAGGGAGCAGGGAAAAGTTTTTCTGGGTTACAGAGGCCATTGGAGGACACGTCTGTGCCACTGGCCCAGGGAAGAAGCATTTACCCTACAATGCCAGTGTCCTGGTTTCTTCATTCAAATTATAGTTCAGGGAAGACCATTTGGGACATCAGTAGAAGGAGAAAAAAGAAAAGAGATTGTGTGTTTGTGTGTGTGTGTGTGTGTGTGTGTGTGTGTGTGAGAGAGAGAGAGAGAGAGAGAGAGAGAGAGAGAGAGAGACAGAGAGAGAGACAGAGAGAGAGACAGAGAGATATAGACAGACAGAGACAGTGACAGACAACTGTTACAAACCACTCAATGAGAAACTAAAAGTGTATGAGTTCAATCATAAAGCGTGAGTGACTGAGACTAACTAAAAATCTAGAATACTTTCCTCCTAAAATGACAGTTGTTCATAAGTTCTTTCCTTGACTAGATAATAATTATAACCTTCAAAAAACTGGTGGAAAAATACAGAAGTGCTATACTACTGTCAAATCTTGTTTCTATCTTCCCAGTATTTCTCATAGGTTCCTTTCTCTCCACTCACATAGCCACAATCCTAATTTAGATCCTCAATCACCTCTCTCCTGGACCATTATAGTAGTCTTATATCTGGTTTTCCAGTCCCAAGTCTCCCTACTCTGATCCATTCTCATCTATATGCCATGGTGATTTCTCTTTTAAGTACAAGACCGTATCATGCTCAGTATTCAAGGAGATGTAGTTGTCCTTTTTAAAAAAATCATCTCTGAGATAAAATATAAAGCCTTTTGTTTGACATTTAAAGCCCTTTCTTTGCGGCCCTTTCCTACCTTTCCAATCTTCTAATATTTTTCTCCTCTTCAAACATTCTATGATTTAGCAAAGTTATCCTACTGATAGCTCCTTGCACATGACAGATCATCTTCCACCTCTGTGCCTTGGTTCAAAAAATAATTATGCCAGTATAATGTGGAGGAGTATAATGGAAAAGGACCCACATATACAAAAAATATTTATAGCAGCTCTCTTTGTGGTAGCAAAGAATTGGAAATTGAGGGAATGCTCATCAATTGGGGAATGGTTGAACAAATTATGGCATATGAATGTAATAGAATACTATTGTGCTAAAAGAAATGAGAGCAGACAGATTTCAGAAAATCTGGAGAGACTTTTATGAACTGATACTGAGTGAAGTGAGCAGAACTGGGAGAACATTGTATATAGTGATATAGCAACATTGTGCAGTGAGTAATCAACTTTGATAGACTTAGATCTTCTCAGCAATGCAATGATCTAAGACAATTCCAAAAGACTTATTATGATATAAAATGCTATCCACATCCAGAGAAAGAACTATGGAGTCTGAATGCAGATTGAAGCATACCCATTTGGAAAACAGGTGCCATTTTTAAAGGACATTTGTGCTAGGCATTGGCAAAACAGACAAAAACAGAAAGCATTCTCCATCCTCAGGAAGCTCACATTCTACTAGGATATATGAAATGAGAGCAGATAAACAAAATAGGAAATAGTGTGAATAGGAAGATAATACTTAGCTCAGGGAAGCTAGCCTCTGATCTAATGTACAGTCAGCTGTTCTTTCCATTACATGGATCAATCCAATACTTGGTAATACAAAATTACTAACAATCAAGCAAACAAAAACCACTATAAAGAACCTATGGGTTCCTTAAGGGGGAAATCAGAATTGAGAAGGTATTCAAAGCCATGTCATACTGCCTATGGTTGAAAATGAAGGTGTTTAGCCTATAGGAAAAGAAAAAGATGGAGAGGAATGAAAGCTGTCTTCAAGTGTTTGAAGGAAAATTATGTGGAACAGAAATACAATTGACTTGGGAGGGACAGAATTAGGACCAGTGGGTTCAAGCTGGAAAGAGATTGTACAGAAAAATTTCTCTTGATGAACAGAAAAACTTCCTAAAATTAAAGCTACCCCAAAACAAGGCATTATTGCATTGAGTAGTCAATTCCCTATTATTAGAGTTCATTAAACAGAGTCTTGATGACTAGATTGTTGGAATATTGGGTAGTGACAAGATGGCCTAATGGAAAGCACTCTGGATTTGGAGTCAGGAACACCTAAATTTAATTTCCTCTTCAGACTTTTAACTGTGTTATTAAGTTATTAAGCCACTTTCAGTTTCATTTTCCTCACCTGTAAATGGGCACAATAATAACACACTACACAGGGCTGTTGAGAAGACCCCAATGAGCACTTTGAAAATTTTAAATCACCATATAAATGCAAGGTCTTACTGAAGATTCCTGCTTCCATTTATTGTACTACATCAACTCTGAGGGCCCTTGCGCTCCAAGCTTTTTTCTGATGTCCCTGGAGTTCTTACTTGTTTCTCATCTCAGTATCACTGTATTTATTCTTTGCATTTATTTTGTATGTAGTTATATATGCTCTTATCTCCCCATTTGGACTGTAAGTTCCACATGTGTAGGTCTTGTTTAATTCTTTGCTTTGGTAGCCCTAGCTTATTTGATGGGGTCTGGTACCAGTGAAAGTTTAATAAATTCATGTTGGCTGGCTGACCACATCATAAAGGTGTGATCATTTCTTACTATGTCACAAAAGTGGATTCCTATACCAGCTACCCAGAACCAGCATGCTGTGCACACTTATACTACAGGTGCATCCAACAACATATTGATTAGTGTCCATTGAATTTCACACCCATCAGTTTGAACAATTTGCAAATGAGACCCAGAAATCTGTTTTTTTAGTAAAAACCAACTCACCAATGCTGATATGGTGCCCTGTGAGTGAAGAAGGCATTTATTCCCCAGGATATGATTAAAAATTTGGTAGTGCATTGAGAACTTGTGGTGTGCAGTGTTCTTTCTTTCACAGATTTCCACTTTTTGGCAAAGATACTGTATTGTACAGATGCAGAGCAATAACTAATGATTGTTGCACCTAAGGAAGGTGACATGAAAGTCTTCCTGAGAGGTTTTTTTTGGGGGGGAGGGGAGGAGAGGGACATAGGCTAGGCCAACATGTCAAGAACTCACCCCATCTGATTGCTCCCTATTTTAACTCTTACTTTTAGCAAGGTGCTAGGCTTTATTATTTCTGCATTGTTGAAGGAAGGCAAATCCTGGTAACACTCTCTGAACTCAGCATTTTCTAAGTTTGGCACCCTATGTCAAAACCCTGGTTATTTACCTCTAGTTACCCCTCTTTCTTAAAAAATACCTGGATATCTGTTGAAATGGTATCACCTCTCACTTTAGTTGGGACAACTGAGCCTGTTTCCAAGTTATGGAAGAGTAAATCAGAGAATGGAAAGATATATGAAGGGGTGTGTGTGTGTGTGTGTGTGTGTGTGTGTGTGTGTGTGTGTGTGTGTTACAAAGAAGCTAAGGAAGGGGATGAGTAGGGTGATAAGGAATAAGATTGAAGAAGAAAAATGGTAAATCACAGGAAAGGGTTAGGTTCTTAATAATTGTAATCAAAGTATAGTTAACATTTCTTGATGTCCTTTGAACTAATTGCATGGTACAATGCTGGATACTGAAGTAAAAAAAAAAAAGACATAGAGAAGATGAAGACCCTGTCTAATGGGAATATGGCAAGAAGGGAGAATTATAGCAATGTGGGTGTACTGAGATTGTGCTGCATATGGAAGAAAGAAGGTTTTTTTTTTTTTAAATTCCCAGATGGGGAATAGAGCTGCTATAACCAACATCTGTAATACATAATGAGGTCAACAAAGGTTGCCTCTGGGTTCTTATACAGTTTATTTTTCAGTTCGTAATTTTACTCTTAAATTCTATCCTGATGAGCTGCAGAAGAGGGAGCCTTAGGAAATAAATATTTTTACTCCAGCACCTGTCTTTTTAGAAATTAGGTGCATCGATTCACCATCTCTTCAAATCAGTTAAAGGTTTAATTGCCTATAAATCTGATCATCTTTTTCCTTAATGTTCCAGTAATATAAAAATTATATCCTAAAAGTACATTTTCCTCAGTGTAATGTTTCTGATATTTTGATATGCTAGGCCACAGGGCTTTTTTATTTATTTTCTTTTTTAGAATCACCTTCTC